TGCTTTTCCTCTCTCCCCTCTCCCCGTCTCCCACTCTCTCCTCACTTAATGAGGCCCCATAATAACACAGCAGTTGTGCAGTTGTTTTGCTACCTCAGTCAAACAGCGGGATCACTGCATAGTGTGTTTCTAGTACCATTCACTTGTCTACTTAGACAGGGTAATGAGTATCATTTGGAGCTACAAAGCACCAGCTCGCAAAAAAGGGTGGTCAGTCATCTCCAGTTACACCTTAGAAGTATTTGGTTGGGGTAGTTAGACATCTAATCAAAGCTTTTTTTGAACATTATGGATTTATTATATATTTTTACAACTGTTCGGTGTGGAAATGACGTGGAAGACGCTGAAATCCATTGCTGTTGTCAACTCCACCCTAGCGTTTTGCTGTTACTGTATGACTATGACTCCCCGAGCACCTCACTTCAAACAAGGCAGTCTGTTACCAAGGAGACCAGGCCGGTTGTGGCATAACAGTGTTTGGGGTCAACCCTCCCTACGGCCTGATAAGTGATGACTGTGGAGAATGCCAACTGCTGTATTATTTATTTATTTGATTGTGTTCTTCATTGGCTAAACTAGCCAGCAGTAAGCCTGGCCTCAGGTCAAAGCAGGAAGGGATTACTCCCTCAGTGGACTGGTCAACAGCAGAGAATGCACAAAGGGAGGACTGAGTCAATACTGGGCCGAGTTCAGCACACCATTAAAGATCAAGAAGGAATGCAACGCTCCTGTCTATCCCCACAGTAGTTTTGAACAGCGAGAAAACATTTTACGTGGCAGCAAAGCATGAATTGCAACCGCAAAAATCGGCCAAGAAACAGAGCGGCCATTACTGATCGAAGGCCGCTGTACATCTTTCGGTCGTTACGCAAACATAAATGAGCCTAAATAACCAAGTGATTAAATTCCTTCAAGTCAGTCTACAATGTGGAGGCTGCAGAAACGAATGCAGGTTCTTTGTTTTAGTATCGTTCGGTGACATTCTCTCTTATGCCTTAATTAAATTCCTGAGTGATGACTACGGGTATGCGTAGGTCTCAGTGGTTTTGTGCGCCGTCCCCGTGCTCCAGATGCGGCTATGCAGACTTACTGCATGCCAGGCATGTGATGTAAAGGCAGAGGCTTTCATTCGGAGCTTCGGGAGGGCGGCGTTTATAGTTTTGATTAGCTTTTTAAATATTTCATCATAGATAAATAAAAAAAGGAACTTGGGCTGCAGGTGTTACATGGATGTGCTGAACTCTTGAAATAAACAGTTTCTTTAATCTGATCTTTAATCTCCACTGTAAGTAAGTTTGATTTATGGATTGCTGTCACACCAGCATCTCCAATCATGTAAAGAAATGTTCTAACTCCAAGACTCTAACTCTATTTTATTTCTTTTTGTTAGAGCTTCCTTTACTAAAAATCAAAAGTGAGTAACATTATCATACTGTTTTCTAGCTGCATTTCTTCCTACCTTTGTATGGATTACTAATATAGTAATTATGCTGCTAGTGTAAATGTGACTTTATCATAAACTTCTTACGATTGTAGCTTATAGCAGCAGTTAAGCCATTTAATTACAGGTCAGTTACATTTTCAACACTTGTTTTTTGAGGGTGGCATAATGCGACAGATTCTGGTCTATTCACTAGTCAACGCTGCACAATGCTTTATTTGTTTAAGGAGCCTTAAATAGGCCATAGCTTATAAAGTCATTATTGTTCGCTCAGCTCTCTAACCACTCAATAAAGCCCGGGTTTAATGTTACATGCCGGATAACACCAGGTAGAAGAGCAGATACAATGTACTTAACATGTGCTCAGCAGGTATTAACATTATGCTAATCAAACATTGTTAGCTTTGTGATTAAGCTTTACATCCTCTCTCTGTGATGTTGGGCAATCTGAAGATTGTCTTTAATACGGCAAGATCAGATGAAAGGGAGAACGTGTCTGCTAGTCCACTGGCCTTCCTCTGCAGAGCTGATGTAAGAGATGCACCTCTGTTGCCTCACTGGAGACCGGGTGCTATCGATGGAGACCAGAGCAATGGGGAACGACATAAAGAATGATTAGTTAATAAATCAGCTCCCTAGTCTGCTTGCTCTTTCCCGGTCTCCGCTCTTCCCCAATCGTTCCCCATATTTTCCCCTCGCTCTCTCCTTCTTTGCAGCCGCGTTAAATTCCTAAGACATGTTGCACCTGTTTGCATGGGTACACAAGACCCCTGCCGGGTGTTCTCCCTTCTCTTCCACTACCCCTGAGGGCGTTGCAGTAGGGTGATGTAATAAGATGAAAGTGGTGGTTTAACGGTGGCGGGGAGTCGGTGAGAGAACGGGAGAGGAGGAAGAGGCTCGCTCCGAGCCAGTGCAGCCAGTGTTCATAAGGGAGAAGCGGGTGCGCATTATTGATCAGTGCAAAATTTAATTTAGTGGAGAATTGACTGCTATGGTTTACCTGAACACTGCTGGTAACTGGGCCCTGCAGCAGGCCTGTGTGGCCAGCAGGTGGTTGAAAGGATCGAGGAGGAGATTAAGGGTTGGATATAAGGGAAGGAAATGGATGATAAGGGGAATGGCAGAGTTTCAGGGGGAATAGGATGGCATTGAAGGAGGGAGTTAAGATGAGAGCTAAAAGGCTTAATGGAGGGCATCTAATCCTAAATTGCAGTGATTCTAGTGTGACACCATTAGTGACATCCTCCTTCCTAGGGCAGTGGACATTTTGGTCATTTTGATGTGAATAATGTGATTTTCTATGTAACGTGACATTTGTTGAAGCGCACCGTGGGTATTTTACTTATCCAACACTTGCGCCGAGGCACTCGAAGAACTTGACAAGGATGAAGACGGGAAAGTGAATTTTCACTCTCCCTCCCTTTTACCACCTTCCGCACTTGTACACAGAACAGTTTATAGCTACTCTGCAGAGTTCAGTATCCACAGAGATAAAGGTATCAGTTTCATTTTCTTTTAATGTTTTTTTTATTCCTCCCTCCCTCTTTTCCTCTATTTCCCTTTAGTCTGCATGGCTGCCACAGCCACTGAAGTCGTTTAACACCGTCCTTGAGAAAGCCCTCAGTGAGAAAACTCCTGGCATGTTTAAGGAAAAGGTAGAATGCAGTGTGTGTCAGACAGAGCTGGGACATGCAGAGGGGGGAGCCATTCCCCAGAGGGGTTATTTTCCCCTCTAATAGCTGTTACGAGCCCTACATTATATCCAAGGAGCTACATTCCTTTGGGGTCCACAGACACACACACACACACACACACACCTAGACGCACTGGCACACTCACACAAAGGCATGCACACTCAGTTGAGCACAAATTTTCTCTCTGTGTTTCTCTCTCTTTCACATACACACACACACACACACACACACTCAGTTCTAGCCGCTTTGCTCTCCCCGTGTCAATATCCTGCCATTTGAAGTCACGTACTGCAGGGGCTTCTGGGAGTCGCTGAGGAGCCAGGCTGACGGGTAATGGGCCGCATTCATTAATAAGGTTGCCGTGCTCCTGTCCCTCCTCAGCAACGCCAAGGATGTCTTCACCGGGGGGTAGGGGGTTGGTGGAGTGGGAGGAGGGGGAGGAGGTGAGGTGAGGAGAAAGAGAGAGAGAGAGAGAGCATCCCATGGGGAGTCTCCTCCCAGACTCACTTAAAGGAGCTTTATTTCAGCAAGAGAGGAAAGATGGAAGCAGAGGAGCTGTCCGGAGCCGCCTCTCTTTAAAAAAGGGAGCGCAGGGCCCAGGTGAGCTACACTAACCCGTACAGGGGTCACAATCCTGTTCCCCGTCAAACAGCTTATTACCCCACCTGTCGGGAAGTAATCGTCCTAGCTGAAAGGAAAGCTGTCGAGGCGTTTAAATGCTTTATATGGAGGCAGCCGAAAGGGTAAAGAGGGAAGGAATGAATGCAAGGGGGCTAATAGTTGCTCCCTACTGCTGCCCGAGGGATTCTGCACCACTGAAGGTGACTGCTTTGGTAAACCTTCAGACTGAGGTTGCGCTACTCATTTTCGGTTGTATTTGAAAGGCTAGTTAAGCAGTAAAAGTAGTGTAATTTCACATACTTTGATTACTCATTTCCATGCCTATGTGTAGGGTAAAATGTATGTGTGTACCGAGTGTGCGGCGGATGTGTGTATTTGTGCATGCATGCGTAGTGATGTCTCTGTGACAGGTGTGTCTAGTCCATGCCAGTTTAGAGAGTCCAAGGCTGTGTTTTAAACAGAGCACAGCAAGTGGGGCATGTAGTTTGCATTAAAGGGATTAGCAGTCACTTCAAAAGATGACCTGGATTCAGCCCACCAGGGACACCAGTTACACACCCCCTGGTCCACACTCCCTTTAAAGAACCTGGCACAGCTGCCCCACTACAACCACTCTCGACGGTCTGTGTGTGTGCTTGCATAATTTTGGAAGATACAGCACAACAGTGCGATATTGTCAGCTTGTTATCCTGTCATAGTGAATTGTGCACAGTTAGAGACTTACAGAAGTGTGGAGGATCAAATCTTCTGAGGCCTTATCTGCGTGTGAAGTATTCCTTTTTTGGGGGTACATTTACAGCATGCTTAATGCACGTAGTCAGCGGACAGACAGAACTCCAAGGATGATATTCCATCGGGTCTGTCAGTGTGTTGTTATGGATTCGCTTTTGATTGGACAGGCAGGGTGGGATGTTATCGGTCAGTGGTCTTATGTGTCTGAGATTTAACTGTGGTATGGGCCCAAAGCTGACTACTATTGATCTACAGACCGATTTGACTTCCTTGCAAGTTAATTAGAGGGGAATGACGATGATATTCAAACATTGAGACGACCACACGGCAGTGCTCATGTCTGGATCATCGAATTTAAACTGAACTGTAAGCTTTGAGAACATCTACAGCCATATAAGGAGGTTTTGTTATGTCTTTTTAATGAAGGGGAAGGATTTTTTTTTTTTTGGATTTCTGTTTTTGCGGTGTATGCCATCATAATGTTTTCCCTCTTTCTTTTTGTGTCCTTGCAGAACCACACGTTGACTCAGCACAGCAGCTAACATGGCAAAGCTCAGCGCCGTGGCCGAGAACAAGGATCACATGACGCACAGAATTATGCCCGACTGCCAATTACCGTCAGTGCAGTTTCCCACTGACTGTCTTGCACTGAAATTTTCAGTTACACCACAAGAAACGATGCCAGAGCAAGAAAAAAGAAAAGCAAAGCAAAGAAAATAAAAGAAGGAGGGGGGGAGAACAAAAAAGAAACCTCTCAGTAGGCCTACTTTACTAACCATTATTTCAGAAATAAAGAAAAAGCCAACTTGTTTGTACATAGACTTCTTCATGTGTTGCTTAACTACAGCTATATTGCAATCTTATACAGTATTTGCCGATGTACAGTTCAAAATGTTTGTCCAAAAAAAAAAAGAGAGACAGAGAAGAGGGAGGGAGGGAGGGAAAGAAAAAAAAGATTCATTACATTGTCAGTCAGACCAGATGGGACTGAAGGAGAAACAGGGTGCCACTGAGAGCATAGGAAACTGTAGGAACTGGTGAGTGTTGTCAGGAAGACTCTTTTCATCAGTGCCACTCCTACTGCGCAGTACGTCACTCTGTATCCTGACATGGTCAATCATTATTGGGTGAAAAAAAAAAGCTCGATTCACCAGCGTAGGCTGAAACCTTGTCTGTGTGTTCGTCCTAATATGGCTGCCAGAGGACCAGCTGTGAACTGTGGTGCGGCTAATCTCCACTGCCTGCGCTGGAGTTCAGACGAGAGGTGAAAAGGAAAAAAAATAAATTAAAAAATCATCCCAGAGAACAGAAAAAACAGGACAGAGGACAAGATGCTGATATATGCAAACGCAGTGACACAGATTTGGAAAAGGCTAGCTCCTTCTGTTGGCTCATGAACAGAGGCGTGAAACTCCCATGTGGCTCTCAGAGCGTGGGGAAATCTCCAGCCCACTGATTCAACCTGTACATTTCTGTTATTAATGTTTACTGCTCGTTCAAGCCTGGAGATTACTGGAATAATTTTTTTTTTGTTTATGTTTTGTTATCTCTACTTGTTCTCTTTTTTTTTCACAATGGGGGAAGTAAATCCAGTTGAATTTGGGATCATGAACGCTGAACACAATTTCGGTCTGTCACGGGATTTACCGTGGTTGCAAAACTCCATCCCTGGCTCTCCTGGAGAGTGCCCAAGTACTTTTTCTTGTTGTTGTGTTTTTATTTTGTTTTTTTCTTTAACTTTTTTAAATTTTTTTGCAGTGTCCCATTGCTCTCTGCTCAAGCTGGAAGCCACTGTGGCATCATACACAACTTTAATCCATTCTGTTATGTAAATGTTTTGCATTCATTGAACCTGAGATGCACTTTTGTATGAAACTTTAATGTTTTGACATTTTGATCGAGAATCGTTCGTACGCAGTTTACAGGAAATCACCATCTCCTGCGGCAAAAAGACAGTTATCTCCGATGTTATTAAAATGTATTGTACAAATATGGAGTTCTGTATTTGGCAGACCTCATTTTTTTGTGTTGCACATGTGATGGAAATATTAAAAACTGTATGAGGAAATGGACTCCATGTCCCTCCATCTTAACAGTCTGTATGTTAATGTGTTGGTGTGTGCGTGTGAGTGTGTGTGTGCGTGTGTGTGTGTGTGTGTGTGAGTGAGCGAGAACACAATTAACCCATCAGACGAGACCTATGACAGCATAAACAGGATCATCATCAGATGCTTACACCGCTTTTTTTTTTTCATTGTATCAAATTGCATCCTATTTTTTCTCCCTCCCTCGTGGCTCACACTAACGAACATCTGAGCATCTTAAGGGAGGTCTGTGTTATTAATGACTCCATTACCCATCACCCTGTGCGGTCCCATTCTACACACCCTTGCGCTGGGTCTATTTAGGGAGCCTCCAGCACTCCGGGGGACAGAGGAAAAGATTCTTCTGCCTTTGCCGAATGGGACAAAACCCGCGCAACAACATCTGTCTGTCTCAGTAGATGATTCATCAGCGGTGACACACGAGCAGCATAACATTTGTTGAAGCTTTCAGTTTTGTTTTGAAAAGGCTCAGCGCTGCAGCTCAAAGCACTTTAACTGTGGTGAGTAACAAGACTGAAAAGTGATGGTTCATTTGAAATAAACAGTGGATCCGGCTTTCGAGTTGTACTGTATCTAAAAACACTGCATGCTTAGCTGTGTTATAAGAACAATAGGAGGGAAAAAACACGCTTATATGTTATTTTGATCCATTAAGACCAGAATATATAAAAAAGCAAGGATGCGATCCCTTGGATTGGGATTTAAGCTAATTTGTGCCATGATCACAATCACAAGATCTGAGAATTTTATCAAACATCTGTATAATTCAGCTTTTCCTAAACATGCACAACATGAAATGCACATTAGGTTTTACAACATTAACATATTGGGGATTGTGGACAGGGCCTCACACAATGACTGACTTTCACAATGAAGATGCAACCCCTCATCCTAATCGAAAGTGGTACATCCCAGCATTAACTGTCATACCAAATGCAAGCTGGGCATCCATTAAACAACTTTGCTAGCATCTCCCTGTGCCAGGCACTTTTAATAAGCTTCAAGGGCATTTGAACAGGTCCAAAACTTTGCTTTGCCAGAGATGGACTGGCCCACATCATCCATTACATTAAATTGGGTGGCGGCCTCCAGCTCATATTTATGATTTAATTAAATTCACTTGTGAGGCGTATCAGAACCACTGCGGCCTCCCTTTTAACGCCAGCCTAAGCAGCAAAACGTACACACACGCGCGCAGCTACACACGTTGTGTTTTTGACACTCGCCCAAGTGTGTGAGACTTTGTGGGCGCTTTGGCAGGGGGGTTCTCATGGGTTCATTTAAAGCAATATAATTACACAGCCCCCAAGTATTCTTCCATCAGAAAGCAGCAGAATGGATGACTTGTTCAGAGATAACTTAGCCTGGCTGATCCTCTGCGGTGTCGTCGTACCGAACATAACCTCAATGCAAGTGTCACTCAATGCTGCTCAGAGCCTGGCCGGTCCTTAGTGGAACTGGGCAATCGGGCCAGATGTTAGGGAGTCGCTGAAATGGCATTGTTCTTGTCCGGGATGTGTAAAATGGGATTTCTTTTTTTGGCGCTGTTGTTTTTGATTTTGATTTTTGTTTTGTTTTCCTGTTCTATTCGACAGCCACACACCCTTAGTCCTCTGGAGTAAAAGTGTCAGCCTGTGTAAGGACTATATTAAAGAATTAAGAGAGCTTACTGAGGCTGTGCAATGTGCTGCACTCCAGGAAGCTCAAAATGTGTCATTTCTCCCCCTGTATGGACAAACCCACACAAATCTAAGTATGCATTCAGTGCTCGTCCCTTGTGTTCCAGTGTCCTTGCTATTGCTCTTCTTTGGTGCAAAATTTAGTTTGGTGAAAACTCCACATTGTTAGGCTGCACATTCCTCCCACTGAAGGAGACCTCAGAGACCTCTTATGGCATTCAATATGTGCGCCCAAGCGTGAGATCCAGATCCATTTGGCCGGGAGATCCGCTGGGAGTGTCTGAGGTAACCCAATCTCTCACACCGGCACTTCACATCCAGAGAGCCATCTTTTCGCTTCAGAACTGTGTCAGCAAAATGGACGCCTCAACCTCAGCGTGTAGCTCTGCCAGGGTGTTTTTGGACAGAGCGCCACGGCCTCTGTTATTGTTTGAGCATTTCCTGTGTAAGCTTGTGAACACCCTGTTTCTATTTATTTGAAATGCCACGAAAGTAATGAGAAAAGGAAAATAAACAACAGAAATGATATGTTGTCTTCCTCAGAGTGAAGTTACTTTAAAGACTTTTCTTCAGCAAATGTTTGAATGGAAAAAGAGTTTCATTGGGCATAATTAAGGACCACAATTGAAATTTCCAAGCTATTTTTCCTGTCCTGGGTCACAGGACAGGAAAAAGTGGGACGCAAAGTTTGTCACGCAGGAAATGCATGTATAGATAAACAAATACACTCACACTCTTTCCTCCTCTGTAGCCCCTTCTAATGATCCCCCTGCTTCCTGTACAGGGAGAAGTGAAGGTGAGTATCCCCCTCCAGTCATCTCCTTTTGCCTCACCAAGACAGACACCTGAAATAGACAAGGTACTAGATGGGCTAGGATTTTCAAAAATGTATTAAACGCCAAGCAATAAAAAATAGACCAGGCGGGGTCAGATTTACTGCAACTCTCCAGGCTCTAAAGCCAGTGTGGCTGGTGTGATGATATGAGGACAAGAGAAGAGTCGAACAAAAGGAGGGGAAAGGGAAAGAAACTATCAATAATGCAGGGTACACTGTATACAGCTGACAGTAAAAATGGAAAAGACACTGCCTAACAGAGAGGAGGGATGAGTGCATTGTATGTAAGTGCCAGAACACATCATTGGTCAAATTATTCAGTTTGGGTTTTTTTTCTTTGTTTGTTTTTTGCAACTAGTTCGAATGGTCTACTTTTATGGAATAGTGTGCAGCAATGTCAGCACAAATATCTGCACTTCTTAACATGTTTTTAACATTTTTAATGAGCAGGACTATTTGCAGTTTGGGTTTATTTAATGAACACATGGCGCAAATAGTGGTGTGTGTGTGTGTGTGTGTGCATAAAGTAAATGTGCAGAAGGAGAATGTAGAGCAATATGAATTTATTGTTTTTAAAAAGGATCATCTTTATTTTTTGCTTTATCTTTGTTGAATTTTAGCTAAACACATTGCTTCATATCTTCTACTCATTTTGCTCTCGTTTGCTTGTTTGTAAGAATAATGGCTTCAATCCTCCAGTGTTCCACAC